AGATAATCAGCGATTTCCCACGGGAACCATTTATAGCAAAACTTTCCAAGATTATTTAGTTCCATCGCGACGCCAAAATGTTGTAATCTTTTGTAATAGTAGCATCATGTAAATTTATATGTTTATATGAGAATATACATTATTATTATTAGTAGTATTTCGAGATGACCAAATTACAAGATTCCAACCAAAACACAGAGAGGGATGAATTTAGGAATTTCGTATTTGGCGGAATTATTATTCAGTTCATGTAGGAAATATATTAACAAGCAACAGTAAGTATTCAAACAATACAGAGATAGAAATTGTCAACCACCCCATCCGATTATGACAAGGAGCGGAAGCTACTCAAACGAAAACTAGCAAGAAGTTTTCGCAATGACCATGGACACTGCTGGACGACAAAAGCTAAAGAGATGGAAAAGGTATCGACGATCGGTAACACCAGACAACTATTTAGGCTTATCAGGGAAACAGGTAAATGATAAGTGAAACAATCTCTGAGGAAAACAGCACCATAATTGGCGTTCAGGATAGACGACTAGGACGTCGGGAAGAACACTTTGAGTAGAAGTTTAATTTGCCTACAGCCACACTCAACTTACCCAGCATCCAGCACCTCCCTGAATAGATACAGACACAGATTCTCCGTCACTAACTGAGATTATAAAGCTGTCACTAGCCTGAAACTAGGAAAAGCAACAGGACCTGATGAAATGACTTCAGAGGTATTTAAGCACAGTAAAGACAGTTTGCTGTCTGCGGTAACTAAGGTACTAGGCAGCGTCTGGGAATCAGAGGAAGTCCCACCGGGTTGGTGTAACTCACTGATTATCCCCATATACAAGAAGGGAGACAAGTCTTCCTATTATAATCACAGGGGGACTATGTCGACCAATATGGTATCCAAAGTTGTAAGCCCAATAATCGTGCGTAGACTAAGTGGTGCTCGGGAGAAACAAACACGAGAGAACCAGGCAAGCTTTAGACCAGGAAGAGAGCGTATTGATCATATCTTCACCTATCCTTCGACAGATTCTAGAACACAGGCATACTTACAGGCGGCTTCCAACAATAAGGAGTCAAGGGGTTGATGGAGAGTGTTGATCGCTTCACTTATTTGGGAAGTTGCATCAGCCAAAAGCAGCAGGTTGGTTGCTGATGAAATCTCAGCACGGATACAGAGCGCAAGTTTCGCCTATGCCGACTTAGGTAGACATGATATCCGGCTGTCTATCGACCAAAGGACGTGTGTACTGCTCAGCGGAAGTCCGTCCTGTCCTCCTTTATGGCTGTGAGCGAGACCTGGCTATTGAGAGTAGAAGACATTAAAAGATTAGCTGTCTTTGATTACAAGTGCCTGCGTTCTATCTCTGGCGTGAAGTGGTATAATAGGGTGAGCAATATTGAGGTTAGGCGTCAGTCGAGTGCTACGTTGATGGGAAGGGAAATCAATCGACGAGGCTGTGAAGCTACATCGACTGAGATGGTTAGGACACGTGTCACGTATGCCCAGTCATTGCCTTCCTCGACAACAAACAATGTTAGCTGAAAAAGGATCAGGCTAAATAGAGCTAGCGGCGGTCAAACCAAAACATGGTACCAGTCCATGAAATCCGCAACAGTTAGTTTAAGCCAGCCAGCTTTCTACGTAGGGAGGTATAGACTTCCTGACTGGTTGGGGTCCTCGGGACGGTAAAAACCAATGATGGCTGGAGACAATTGGTGATATGGCTCAAAGTGATCGTTGTCAATGGCTGGTGCACATGCAACCATTCTTTTTGACTTATAATTTCCAATGAAACTATATTGCTTTGTTGTTACTATTCCTTTTGTCTCATACCTCTGTTTACTGTCTCTATTATGCATTTCTTTTGACTTTTTTCTCTTGCTTTGTGTGCTACATGGAGGGAGTGTGGCGAATTAGACTGCTGCACATCGGTGCAAAGTTCTATGTTGAAAACAGATAGACAGACTAGAGTTGACTGTCATATTAACAAATATAGCTAATTATGATCAAATAACAAGACGAAATAGCAACAGTCTTACCGCCCATATAACACGAACAGAAAGACTGGCAAAGTATTAGTAAGCTTTATCTGGCACTTTTAGGTTGTTTAGCTTCACAGTAATTTCATACCAGACTAATAAGTCATGTGTATACGTTCGAGTGAGTAGGATGCAGCAACAAAATTAGCACCTGAAGCTTTGACAGTAGTTCAAGGCATAGCCTAAATATACAGACAACAGCTGAATTAAGCTTACCGGCTAAGAAGATCACGGTTCCCAGGAGATTTATTCACGAACAAGGTTTATTTCCGATTAGATAGAAAAACGAATGAAGGTAAACAGCATGTTGCTCAGTTATTGAAAGGCCATAGGATTATGAGTAAACTATTATTTGTTCTGGTGAATTTGGATAGCCTAACAACATGCAGTTTAATTTCAGTCGAGGAAAATGCAAGTCCGCTTTCAAACAGAGTGCCACTAACTTCAGCTGCTATTGCTGGTACTTGTTACCAAATTGAATTAGCGCCTACTGAACTTCTGTCAAGATATTTAACTGCTGAAAGAAGCCTCCAATCTGTCAGTCACAAGATATCCCCACACATGAATGACATTTAAAAGGATTGTTCCCTGTCAATTAGAAGTCTCCATAATGAGAGCTTCCCTTATTAGGAGTAGTCTCTCATTGTCATGAAATAATGAATGTTTGAGAATATCCCTTAGACAAGAAAATTGAATGTATGCACCATAGTTCATCAATTAATTTATCACTCGTTAAAATTTAACAAGCCCTTGTGTGTCAACACTTCACTGAGGAACGCATATAACCCATGAGAATACCGAAATCTGTGCATATTGGAACCTTCATTCTCAGTCTATTCCCCATTATTCCTTCTGTTATCTTGGTAATAAATCCGTAGCAACAAGGTTATTTCTAGTTTCTTCTGAGCTTGCCTTTTCTGCTTTTTTATAGTCTTTCACAAGACTGTTTGTCACAGTGGACATCCCTACATCTTGTAGTGCGCATCAATAGATACTGTAGAACTGGCGAATACTACACAGTAATTCTTATACTGTTAGGACCTCAAAAGTCATTTTCCATGCTGATCTTCGTCTTTCGAATTGCATTAGGCAACAGCTTCACAACTTGCGTTGACGGAAAACTAAGGAAGATCTTCGTTGTAAAAGCTGGAATAGCCTAACTTCTATATTAAGTAGGTGATTTAAACTAAGGGATATAGTTTAGACAGTAAGTGGTACACTAATATTTTATCTCGAAATCAAATAACTTGTGAAATTAATAACAGAATACTCATATGTAAGGCTTTTCCGCCTACAAAATAAAAAGTTTCCTTCTATGAAGTGGTATAGTCACCTTAATATATGTGTAAAACTTGGGCACTGTGGTAGTAAGTAATTCCATATTAGTTTGTTCATTAGATGTATCACACAGTGATGAAACAGTATTATGACACAGTTTCAAACAAAATGTATTATTGTTCATAATCATATCAATTGTAATCACGCGACTTTGAAACTTGGGTTTTATGGTTTTTTTGTCAGGTAGTATTTGTCGTCATTGGGGTAGTAGAATTATCCAGATATCTGGCTGGACAGCTGTTGAATCATTCCTATTACACGTGTTTGAAGTCGATTAGATAAACGAAGCTTCTGTTATTAATCTCTTCCTCCACCCTGCTGGTACATTAGATTCTAGGACATTTATCTTATCCTACCCCATCCTATTGTATGGTTGTGTGTGACTGCATGTACTAAGTGCTATAGCTAAACTATTCTCCAAATTAGTTGACTCGAATAAGATCAGAAATCTAGAGAGTAGTCCATCTATAGCACTCAATACATGCAATTACACAATTATATATATATATATATATATATATATATATATATATCGCGAATTGGTAGAACTTGGAACTCATAAGTCATTGGGAGGGGTCTACAAACTCGCCTTGTGACGTGAAGGTCGTCGGCATTGGTGCGTACTACCGGATAGTCCTAAGCCACGACAAAACAATTGTCAAGTACTTACTGGTTCCCTAGTGGTTCTCTGACCGACGTCAGCTCGTCATCAAACCTGTAAATTTCAGTGACAAACAGAATGGCCACTACAGCCTAACACTTGAAAATATATTTTTCGATTTAAAGCAGTTTTACTTCATGGAGGTTTTCATCATGCGCTGACATCAGTTAGAGAACCCCTGGGGGTACTGGACATCTGTTTCATCCTAGTTTGGGACTCTTCATCAGTGCACACCCACCGACAAGATTCGAACCCAGGACCTTCTGGTTACAAGGCTAGCGAGGTCGTAGACCATTCAGCCACTGGGACCCGATCCAATGGCCAGTCCATGAATTCTAACTTCCACCAATTTACGACATAGCGCGACCATTTCTCAATGTCTTCTTCGATGAGTTGCTGCCTCATCTTCAACCTGCTTTACCCTACTGGTCACGACTTCCCACTAGAACCCGAGGTTAACTGCCTGAATAGGGCCAGCTGCTGATGAAGAGTCTCACACTAGGCTGACGAAACAGCTGTCCAGTACTCCAGCGCTGGTTTTCCAATGGTTCTCTTACTGATGTCACCTCATGCTGAAATCCTCCATCCATTCAAACACAAAATCCTTACAAAACCAATACTTGAAGATTAAAGCAGTTTTATTTGGATAGAATTGGATACTTGGGGGTGCCGAATTGCATCGCCAAGATGCCAAATATATTCACTTTATGCGTCAAAATGCTTTACATACATGTTGATTTGACACACAATTAATTAGTGAAGTATTTCAATGAAAAGGTCTAAATAGATAAATGTATTTCATATCTGATCGAAAAAAAGAAATCTGATGATTAGAACAAAATCAGTGTAGCAAACAAGAGTAAAGTCACTCGTTTTATATAAGAAAGATTTAACAAATGAAAACTGTAGCATAGTAATTCAAACTAAATAAATAACTCTGCATGTTAAATAGTTACGAGGAACACGAGACACGCAGTCCACGAGACCAATCAGGAGGACGAATTCTGTTGCTTTTGCAAGTCGTTGAACTCTGACCAAGCTACAAGGAAAAAGAAAAAAGATTTTAAAACAAAACATTAAATGAATCAAATCCCCCAGCTGGCGATTATACACAAATTCGAGGAGGTGGAATTTCACCATAGTTTTTTTCTTCCTTTGGAAACCAAAATTATTCAGATCACAATGTGTGACCTGCTTGATATCATGTCGATACCAATCACGTCACAGACTACTGATTGATTGGTTCACTGAGACGAGTAGTTGAACATCACTCAGACCAGCCAGTATAGATGTTTGATAGCCAGTCATATAGAAATGATCTAAACACGATAGGGATGGGTTTGTTCGTTTAGAGTCGAGGTAGCTCATCAGTCGGCAGTGTACGCAGCGTTTGATTCAGCTCAATGAGCCAAATTAGTTCAAACCATACGACTGATGAACTTTCTGCAATCCATAACGAAAAACTCAGCGAGGCGTTTGGAGTAAACACAGGAGTCAGACAAGGATATACTATATCGATGTCAAGAACCTAGAAGACCTGGATTTCATGGGTGGATGATTTATGTTTAATGTCACACGAAATCGAAGACTTACAAGAGAAAACCAACCGACAAACTGGTCGAAGAAGCAGCTGGCGAAGACAGGACTCCAAGTGAACACAGACAAGACGGATGTTATGAAAATAGCAAACCAACCAACCAACCAACAACAACAGCAGCAACACTCAGCGCCTATCACCATTAACGGGAGGGATTTGAAAGAGGTTACTTCCTTCATTCACTTATCTAGGGAGCATTGTCTCAACTACACGCAGTCGCAACGGACGAGTATGTCAAATAGAGCGAGAATCGGGAGGGCGAGAAACACACACATTCATCAATCTGAAACCAATATGGAAATCTTCGTCACTCAGCCAGCATCAACAACAAAATTCAGTCGGATTTTCAATACACAAAACGTCAAGTCAGTCAGCTCTTCTATACGGATCAGAAACTTGGCGGGCAGGTCACAAAGAATATTTCCAACAGGCTATTGCAGACCAGACCTTTATCAATAACAACTGTCTTGGCTAGATCTATATTGAAGATCAGATGGCCGGGCCGGAAAGAATCACCAACAAGAAACTATGGGCACAAACAAACAAAATCACCGTCATTCGTTAAAAATTTTTATATATAAGTCTATGTAAATTAGAGTGAAGCCTGAAGAAGATCTAACTGAAAACAATATTGTTCGCTTATATGTCTTGTTCTAATATTAAAAATGGGAATATTTAAAGATCCATCAAATTACTTCAAAATGAATAAATACTAGTCTGGTTGTATTGTTTTTGCTGAAGGTGAAGAACTGGAAATTTATTTAACACCTGGAGCCTGGAGTCTAGAAAGCCAACACAAACAACAACAACAACAACTACTACTACTACAAAAATATTTCTGAGCCTCTGTTAACTTCATTTATGAAAAGTTCACTTACTGTACCATCCGATGGGAAATTAGCATCTTCATAAGGTGTAATTAATGCATTGAATAACTTTTCAGCTACAGTATAATCGCCTTCTTCAGCTGATTTAATTGCTTCTTCGGCAAGATGATTACGTAAAACAATTCGAGGATTTACAGATTTCATTAGACGTAGACGTTCTGAAAATTCCATCTTGTTATTATCACTATTACCATCATTATTGTCCATCTGATGATCAATTTTCAAACGTTTGGCATACTCTTGCAGCCAATTATTCCATATACGTGCATTTCTTTCTTGATTTTCAGTCTCAGTAAGATGCTTAAACAGGTTTGTATTATAGAAAGAGAAAAAACAACAAAACATTATTCATAAAAATATAAATTATACAGGTCTGATAGGAAATATAAGTATATATTTCAGCATACACACTCCAATTACTTCATGGAAAATATCATCAGCAGCTGAACATCTCAGTAGATTATGTCTAAGAGAAGAACTATATCGAGTTACTTTGAAACTTAATAATATACGAAATGAAATCGAAAAACTCAAACATAAACTCAAATGTATGGTCAATGACAAAGATTATGTGATTGTTGTTGAAACATCCGAAAAAGCTAGAGAATCAGTATCAAGAAAATCAAAAACCATACAAATCAAAAAATTCAACAAACTGATGGAAGAAAAGAACACCATAAATGAAACTGACGTCAGAGTTTCATCCTCTATTAACAGAACAAAATGGGTGATCAACCTCTTATCAAGGGAGCTAAGCTCTAGTGAGATAAAAGTACCTGAGAAAGGACTACGTTTCGACGTAACAGTAAGTAAATTAAAACCAGAGGGTGTCATTCCTAACTTAGAAGTAGCACTAGGTTCAGTAGATAAGACAACAGCAGAAGAGGTTCGAGCACAATGTGCATGAACCCTGAAAAATCAAACTTAACAAAATCGGAAAGAGAAGCTTTAATTAGTCTTAAACAGGATAAAAACATTGTCATCGCAAAAGCTGACAAAGGAAACGCCACCGTAGTTTTGGATAAATCTGACTATGTCAAAAAAGTTACTGAACATATTTAAACGGGTCCATATGAAGAAATCAAGAAGCCTGTAGACACAATAATGAATAAGGTTAAGAAATCTACAGCAGAACTAATACGCAGAATGAAACAGTCACTGGTGAGTCTAAATGGTTTAATTTAATGCCTAAAACTAATAATGCCAGTAGAATCTATGATACTATAAAAATACATAAGCTAGGTTACCCCATACGACCAATAGCAGATTTCAGAAACACCCGTACTTGTGAATTATCAAAACACTTAGCTCTAATATTATGCCCCATTAGAAATCGTTCAAACTGATAAGAAATATTTCTTGGCAACTGTATACATGAATTTGTAATTATATCATTATTAGAAAAGATACTATACGAGCTGTCATTAACAATCACGACACCTGTGAATATCCCCATAAAGTACTTCTGTAACGACAAAAGGCAAGAGTTGGGCAACATATATTTATGAATTTTTATGTACATTATTATAGACTATTGTTAGCAGACAAACACAGGCTTCTGATTGGTTGTTTCTCGCAGAAAGTTAATGTTTCACCTCACCGTGGCCGTTTCTTGAAGGTCAGATCATCCATCTGCGAATTGTATCTGCCCACGCAAAGTGTACTGTGATTGGTTGTTGAGTCAGTTATTGTTCTTATTTTCTTCATGACCAATATTTGGGAGGTAAACATTGACGAAAATTGCTGCGTATCAATTTTGGCTAGCAGACACCTTTCACCACACTTCCACATGCTCGATGGTTGAAGACAGTCTGTAAGAAAACATGGACAAATATTTTGTGCTTCTTGAACACTTGTCATAATAAGACGTACCTATTGTAAGACCTCGAAAGAAATGATTTCTCTTCGAAGATTTAAAACCTCATAACCCTACATTTCTGTCACAGATGTCACCACTGTTCCTTCATATTCATTACCAATCAATGTTGAATGTTTATTTGTACAGTAATAAAGGGTGATAGTTTGCGTCTCATTGTTTTAATCTAATTGAGATATAATTTTCAACTGTAGTGTCTGTCTGGATTTAACATAGAACTTGGCACCGAAGTGCAGCAGTTCCAGCTGCCACGTTCCAAATACCACACAAAGGTAGACAAAAAGATGAGTGAAGAGAATCAATAGAGTTTCACAAGTATAAGAGTGAAACAGAATGGGTAATGGTAGAAAGGAATATGAAAGATTACAGAGACTGAATACATCTGCGCTGGCCATTGACAACGATTTTGAGCCATGTCACCTATTGTCTTCAGCCATTGATTCCTAGAGTCAGTCCCGAGGGCCCCGAACCGGAAGTCTGCATCTCCCTACCTGACTGACTCAGTTTAACTGTCGAGGATTTCATGGATTGATGAGGCCATGTTTTTGTTTGGCCACCACTTACCCTTTTCCAACCTGAACCTATATCAGCTAGCAATGCCCGTCGGGGGAGGCGGTGGTTAGGCATGCGCAACACGTGACCTAGCCATCTTAGTCTATGTAACTTTATAGCCTCGTCGATTGATTTTCCCTCTTTGCCCAACACTCTACGCCTAACGTCAACATTACTTACCTTGTGAAACCACCTAACGTGAGACAGAGATCGCAGACATCTATGATCGAAAGCAGTCAACCTTTTCATGTCTTCAACGCGTATTGGCCATGTTTCAGAGCCATAGAGAAGGACGGAGCGAACTGATGAGCAGTACACACGTCCCTTGGTTGATAACCGGATGTCACGCCTACGCCAGAGATGGTGTAAGTCAGCGAAAGCAGCTCGAGCTTTTCGGATCCGTGCTGAGATTTCATCGCCAATCAGTCCGTTGGTGCTGATACAACTTCCAAAATAGGTGAAGTGGTGGTAACATGTTCTATCACTTCACTCCCTATCACTAGCTAGGAGTTGACGTAGTCCAGTCCTGTGGCAGCATCTACATTTTCCAGGGGCGAATCGCATTCCAAACATACGAAGATTGCTGCTCAAGGTGTTCAGAAGACTCTGCTGGATTTTGTCAGCATCCTCCCCTAACAGGACTATGTCATCTGCATATTCTAAGCCCATAAGACTATTCCCTGGTAACAAATCGATTCCTAAGTCATTACGCTCAGTTAAGGATACTTCCATTAGCATATCTATGATGAAGTTAAACAGAAATGGGGAAAGTGGACATCCCTGTCGAACACCACTGGTTGTTACTAATTCAGATGACAATTCCCCATAACCCCTTACACGACTATATGAGTTTGAATAGAGTGTCTTGATTAGTGCAATGTACTTTCTTGGCACTCCCTTCACAGTCAAAAATTGTCATAGTACCTTTCGATCCACGGAGCACTGATAAGGGTGAATGAAGTATACATTAAACTATCAAGTATAAGTTCAAAGAAATAAATACTATTGTGATTGGTTATATTATGGTGAGATCTGACTGATAGCCAAAATTATAGACAACAATTAACATCAATGTTTACGTCCCATATCTTGGTCATGAGAAGAAAGCACGAACAAAAACTAACTCAACAACCAATCACAGCAGACTTTACGTGGGCAGACACGATTCGTAAATATATGGTCTGACATTCAAATAAACGTCCACAAAGAGATGAAAAAATAACCTTCAGCGAGAAAAAAGCCAATCAGAAAACACTGTTTCTTTGCTAACAATAACGAATAATAATGTAGATAAAAATATATAAATATCTCTTGATTTTCACAACAAACGATATGTAAGCGTGATGATGTCTGAAGATGAATAAAGTCAATCTTTGTGTTTGCCTATGCAATCACTATAACCTCTTCAATAAAGAAGATGCGAAACAATAGTATTTTGTGGATTAAAAAAATTTACACATACCATCAAAATAAATACAATTCTCTTTTTATGCTCTTTAGAGATCCAAATTTTAAAAGCAGTTCTACCAATAATTCTTCATTTCCTTGTGTTCGAAATGGAACATAAGGCTTCATCAAGCTTGCGTTATAAAGCCTAAATAACGATCGTGTTTTTTATAGGATGGGTTTGATAGCCTCATATGCCTGACCACCTCTTTTTACCTAGCTTGCTAACAGAGTAAGGTGAGATTTAGGATTGCATAAACCGTGAAACGAGACCCGACTATGTGCATGGTTGATGAGCATTCATTCTACTGCTGGATTACCGATGCACTCTGCCAATAATAACTGAGTCAAAAATCTGAATAATTCATACATATGACAAGCGCTTTATGACGGGAACAAATGACATACAATCCACACACAACCTAATTATAACAACGTTTCCAACCAGATGAAATTGACAAGAGAGGAGGAATTAGACAATAAAATTCTATTTGTTGATGTCTTCGTCAGGAGAACAAGCACAAGTATACGGAAAATCGATCCAAACAGATCGAATACTCATTTACAGTAGATCTCTTAAGTGGATAAATGGACATTTATCAAACCAGGTTGTCATTACCTCTTTATTCATTCATCAGTCGGTTGAAATTCCATCTTAACATTATCGAGATCAAAGATAACGCTTTAGAACACAGTAGAATGGCCAAAAATGAGTTGGAAGACAAGTGTACACGTTTCTCACATATCATAGAAGTGTCTTTTTTTACTTTTACTGGCAGGTTTACCATCTTACAGAAGCATATATGGGAGACAATGGAGCACAGATGGAGCATCTTCTTGAAGGGAACACAAATTTTTATTAAGATAATAAGATTGAAAGTGGACACTTTTGACTTACTTCTATTTCTTTGTAAAGTTTCTCTCTATCTCCACTTTTTAACACTTTATTTTCTTCCAGTTTATCAGTCATACTTCGAGACATACTAGCAAATCTTGTCATTAGTTGACGGTGTCTAAATTAACAATAAGTAAAAAAGGTGTATTATAATGAAGATAATGAGCAGAATAATACATTGCATTGTGATTTTAAGAAATGTAAAACCAGTCGAACTTCATCTGGAAGGAAAACAGTCATGCTTAACAAGTTCAAACAGTATTCGTTAACTATCATCCGGAAGGGAAGGAGAAAGAAGGAAATTACAACACGTTCACCATTAAGATTACGATTCTTGGCCATATCCGATAACGTTTCGAGCCATCGATTCGAGCTATCTCGCACACCCCAACCAAGGAGTCCTGACACACAAACCAATGCTAAACTAGCACAAAAATCCTTCACCCTACGACGCCAAGTCATACACTAACCACCCCTCCGTCTTCTCCATCCCGTCCCAGGGCTGTCTAGCGAACAGAGACCTGTACGGAAGCCTCTGGGATGACATCGGCAGCACATATGTAGACTTTAGTTTCATGGGTGCCTTTCAGAGCTGTGACAAACTGAACTGTTGTACTTTGTGTGAAGTTCTTAGTTGTCAGCCTGTCTGTCTGTTTCCAACATAGAACTGTGCACCAATGTGCAGCAGTTCAAGTCGCCACACCCCCTCCATGTAGCACACAAAGCAAGAGAAGAAAGTAAAAGAAATGCAAAATAGAGACAGTAGACAGGGATATGAGACAAAAGGAATAGTAATAACGAAGAACGACAAAGTTTCATTGGAAATCATAAATCACAAGGAGTGGATGCAACTGCGCCGGCCATTGAGAACGATCACTTCGAGCCATATCACCAATCGTCTCCAGCCATCATTGGTTTTCACCGTCCGAGGACCCCAACCAGTCAGGAAGTCTATACCTCCCTACGTAGATAGCTGGCAGGCTTAAACTAACTGTTGTAGATTTCATTGACTGGTGCCATGTTTTGGTTCGACCGCCGCTAGCTCTTTTCCAACCTGCCCGGTCCTATGTCAGCTAACATTGCCTGTTGTCGAGGAAGGCGATGACTAGACATACGGAACACATATCCTAACCAGCTCAGTCGATGTAATTTCACAGCCTCGTCGATTGATTTCCCCTCCCACCTACCTAGCGCTCGACGCCTAACCTGAATATTGCTCACCTTATTATACCACTTCACACGGGAGATAGAACGCAGGCACCTATGATCAAAGACGGTCAGATAGCCAGCCTTTTTCATGTCTTTCAATCTCAATGACCAGGTCTCGCTCACAGCCATAAAGGAGGACAGGGCGGACTTCCGCTGAGCAGTACACACGTCCTTTGGTCGACAGCAAGCCGGAAGTTCTTAGTTAAAAAGTAAGTCAGTCAGTCAGCCATGCAATACTCTACTGGATAATTAGTCTAAATGATCAACAAAATATAAAATAAAAAAGGTGAAGCAATACTTAAAATTTGTCAAGGTAAAAAGACAAAACAACTTACAATTCCGTATTCTTTGGTTCAAAAGTCTCTTGTAATTGACACAATGAACAGCATTCTTCTAATAGGTGATTTGTTTCTAAAGGACACTCATTGCTATCGGCAGTGTTGTTGAATAATGCATCACCGTATTTATTAAATGCTTGTGATATAGTGTCTTCAAGAGCTAGAAATGTATTTGTAAAATCAGCTCCTGTTTTCTCCATTGTGTTCAGTAAATTATGAACAAGATCTGCATCGATTTGATCAACTGGATGAAGTAAACCAAGCTACTCATATAAATAAATAAATAAGTAGAGATGAATAATTTTCATATAGCATTTTGATAATATTAACACTCAAGATAATATTTAACTGCATAACGATCCTGGGTTGGGAAGGAGAGCTATTGGATATATTTAGGCTCCAGAAGCCACATCCCGCTTAAGCGATGAGAGGTAGGTGTCTCAGAAGTCTAAACTGAAGCATCTGATTATTATTATTACGACATAATTATTATTTCCCTTGGATTCTAGGTGAAATATATAAGGCGTTAATAGGAAACACATTCATCAACCTGAAACCAATATGGAAATCTTCGTCACTCAGCACCATCAACAACAAAATCCAGTCGGATTTTCAATACAAACAACGTCAAGTCAGTCAGTTCTTCTATACGGGGCAGAAATATGGCGGGTGGGTCACAAAGAATATTTCCAACAGGCTATTCCAGACCAGACCTTTATCAACAACAACTGTCTTCGCTGGATCTATACTAAAGATCAGATGGCCGGACCGGAAACAGTCTCCAACAAGAAACTATGGACACAAACAAACAAAACAAGAACCAACCAATCGCCAACCAACAAATATTCAGGAGAAAGTGCATTGAGATGGATTAGACACTCGCTGACGTCATCGCGCGCTTCAGACCATTGCTCGAGTGGAACCAGGTCGAAAGGGAAGCGGCGAGTGGGACATCAGTGCAAGGGTAACATGGAAGAGATCGTGTGAACAGAGAGGAGTTGAAACAGTATGGACTAACATGGATGCAGGTGAAAAGTACAGCAGAAGGAAGACAGAAGTGGCAAGTGGAGACGTGCAGTTGAAGCCCTATGTTCCACTAGGAACCCAAGGGAACAAAAATAAATAATAATAATAATAGATCCTTCTTTGGTGTGTCCCAAGAATTTCTCGTTGCGAATTCTTTCCAGCCAGTCATTTGATCTTCACTTTGGCTGTGAGACCTGGCCATTAAGATTCGAAGACATGAGAAGGCTGGCTGTCTAGCTTTCCTTGATCATAGGTGACTGCGTTCTATCTCCCGGGTGAAGTGGTATAATAAGGTGAGCAATATTCAGGTTAGGCGTCGAGCGCTAGGTAGGTGGGAGGGGAAATCAATCGACGAGGCTGTGAAATTGCATCGACTGAACTGGTTAGGATATGTGTTCCGTATGTCTAGTAATCGCCTTCCTCGACAACAGGCAATGTTAGCTGACATAGGATCGGATAGGTTGGAAAAGAGCTAGCGGCGGTCAAACCAAAATATGGCTTCAGTAGTCAATGAAATTCATAACAGTTAGTTTAAGCCAGCCAGCTATCTACGTAGGGAGGTATAGACTTCCTGAATGGTTGGGGTCCTCGGGACGGTAAAAGCCAATGATGGCTGGCGACATTCAGTGATATGGCTCAAAGTGATCGTTCTCAATAGCCGGCGCAGATGCATCCACTCCTTGTGATTTATGATTTCCAATGAAACTTTATCGTTCTTCGTTATTACTATTCCTTTTGTCTCATATCCCTGTCTACTGTCTCTATTTTGCATTTCTTTCACTTTCTTCTCTTGCTTTGTGTGCTACATGGAGGGGGTGTGGCGACTTGAACTGCTGCACATCGGTGCAGAGTTCTATATTGGAAACAGACAGACAGACAGACAGACAGATGGAGCCAGAGAATGCAGCTGTTGATAAAAGTCTGCAATAACCTCTTGGAAGTGCTTTCTGTGACAACTGTTACTAATTTGAAATAATGAATGTCTTTTCATACAAGGTAAGTTTAATTTCGATTATACAATAATACTTTAGAGCCTCACATTGTATGGAACCAAAAAGAACGAACACAAAAGTTAATTACGTCTTGTTGTGTAAGAACAGAATAGATAAAGTATATTTCAAATGTGAAATCTTCGAATGTTTGGCATGTGATTCGCTCTAATCAGAACTAGAATACACTAACTCCTAGTTAAAAGATAAGAAGAAGATTGGTAGAGTGTATTCACCACTTCACTAATACAGGAAGCTGCTTCAGTCCCAGTGGACTGATTGCTGACGACTTCTAACCATGAACATTGAGGGTTCATGTGCGATTACAACTCCCATCATTTCTGGGACAAGCATGACAACGGACCACCGATGTCCGACCGATAGCTGCTACCTTGACGTGTTGGTCGGGCTTGCATATCGCGATGGCCCAACAAACTACACTGGCTGGAACCAATGTTCCTGCAGGTCCTACCAAGCCAGGAAGGTTGCTAGGATAGAATCTTTCATACACTATGCTAGGGGTGTGTGGGTGAAGTCGTACTGCTGGGGAACAGGGATGTAACAGCAGTAAGGTGTTTTTCTCAGATGCCAACCGGCTATGCTCTTTCTCCACTCTGAAGAGAAGGGGTTAGAAAATGTCGACCCCAACAATTGTACATCCCGAATTACCATACGGTGGTCCGTAACCGGCGGTAAGTTTACTAATATGGAATCATTTCATACAAGCCGTGTGTGACCGGTCTCAAGCAGTTGTCCCATGAGCTCTGCGGTCATCCAACACTAACCCTCTCTCCGTTTCAGGTACCCAAAGAATCAATCAACTTCCATGGTGTGGGCAGCCGGGAAGTAGCAACCACCCACACACTTCCAATAGCACACGAAGCCTTCATGAGTATCATTCTCCTCTACCCACATCACCCTCATCATCTTATTCCCTACTGCACTTAGTAGTACTATTCTTCAGGTTAGTGAGGCACCTTCACTTCACTCTGTGACAACAAATAACGACCGCCGATCAAAGGACGTGTATATTACACAACGGTTCGCTCTGTCCTCCCTTATGGATATTAGACATGGCCATTAAAAGTGGAAGATATGAAAAGCCAAGCTGTCTTCGATCACATATGTCTGCGCTCCATCTGCCATGTCAAATGGTATAATATGATTACTAATAATAATGAGGTTACGTGTAGAATGTTAACGAAGTAACGAGGTTACGTCAATCGATAAGATCGTTAAGCTACATCGATTGAGATGGTCGAGACACAACGCGTGACGAGCATGATGAGCCATTGTCCTCCTCGACAACAAATACTAACCGACATAGGATAAGTTTGGAGGACAGTTAGTTAGAGGTGGTCAAACCAAAACTTGGAATCGTTCCATGGAATCTTTGATTGATTGGTTTCAGCCACCCATGTAGAGAGGTGTAGGCTTCCTGGTCAGGGTTCTCGGAATGTTAAGAACCAGCAGCTGCAGACTATTGGTGGCGTAGATGCACATTCACATTATCCAGGCAGAACCGAATTCGAACACGGTACCCATTAGTCCAAAGTCGACTTCCTAAGCCAATCGGAGGAGGGGGGGGGTCATATATCTTCATAGTCAAAAATTAAGCATACGCAATGTTAATTTGTCCACTTACTTTTTTACGCATTCTTTCCAAATATGTCTTTTCAAATGAGGGCATATATACATGCTGTAAAATATTAACAAATTTCTTTTTCAAATCATCAAAGCATAAAGATTCTTTGTCTGATTCATTAGATGACAATACTCTCTGTTGATCAATCAAGGCTTGATATAAACATTCAGCTAAACGTGTACAATTCCATAGACAAATAACTGGTTGTTGTGCATAAGCATATCGTCCATCTGGATCCGAGGTATTACAGATATGATCCCATGTGAACTGATCAATAAAACCAAATGGTCCATAGTCAATTGTCAGGCCTATAATACTCATATTATCTGTATTCAACACACTAAGGCAAAGTGAAATAAAAAAATAAATATGGAAAATAATTCATTATATTTAACTGTCCATCACTATTATAGCTAAAAACTGAAACACGGTGAATACACTACTGACAAAGATATAAGTAGTATATGTATACAGCTCTGCTCCCTTGCGTTCCAAGTTGAACGCAGGGTTTCAAACTCGAGGTATGAATTTTCAGTAGCAGTGGTGCTTTATATCTACGGGGTAGGATTGCTATCGTAATGCCTTCCTAACCTTCCCTCTTTACCAGGCTTACTACTTGTGATAAGAGCTGGCTACCAGCCAGTTGGTAGACAGTAATTTACATCAAGTTTAGTGTCCCCAATATTGGTCGTGAGAAAAATGAGAACAAAGACTTTGCGTAGGCGGACACAGTTAACATATAGATGATCTGATATTCAAAAAACAACCACAAAGATACGAAAGATTAACTTTCAGTGAGAAACAACTAATCATAAGACTGTTTTTCTGCTAACAATAATCTATAATAATGTACATTCTTCTTCTTCTTTAGTTCGGCTATCTCCTACGGGAGGATGAACCGGCTTCATGAACATCTCGAATGTTTGTAAGAGAGTTGATGAAGTTTCATGGGAATTGGGTACGAGTGATGTCCCCAGCATCGCTCGGCCTTTTGTTTGAGAGTGCAGCTCTAGCCTTTACACAGCCAAGTGTGACCTACAAGGCAGTAGGAGTGGAGTAGGGAGTCCACTATCCATTGGCAGCCGGTGACCGGTTCATACGCCTTTTTGAATGGGGCCAGACATCCAAAAAAAAAAATAAGCTCTTTGTCCATACGTCTGCCGGTGAACTCCGGTGAGCTTCATACGCCAGTCGTTGGAGGTTTGGAATCAGGGTTTAGCCATCTCCCCTAGACTGTCATCCAATGGACAGTCAACCCGGTGAAGAGCGCCGGGCATCCGCTTTTGCCCTCTCACTTCGGTGAAAAACACCTCCGCCACGTGAAGGCAGTGAGTAGGACTTCCTCAGGAGAGGCTATGTAAGACGCACGGTCATATGGGAGCATTTCAAGAGGTGTACGGAGGGGTGGCTAGCCCGCAGCGCAAGACACCCACCCCCGACCATCCTGAGGCTTTGGAGTCTAATAATGTACATGAAAAGTGACAAATGTCAAACAAACCAGTATTTTTAATGCATTCATTCATAAATTGCCATAGAAAGACTCACCAACTAAACACTATACAAACACACACACACATTGTTATTGTTCTTACAATTTCATTTTAAGGTTAAATACACACAAACACACAAGCATTGTGACAAATGAATACCTATCAATTTCAACAAATATACGACCTACAAGCCGACATTTACCTGCGGTATATTATTATTACTATTTTTATTATTATTGTTACCTTGGGTTCCTAGTGGAACATAGGGCTTCAACTGCACGTCTCCACTTGCCACTTCTGTCTTCCTTCTGCTGTACTTTTCACCTGCATCCATGTTAGTCCATACTGTTTCAACTCCTCTCTGTTCACACGATCTCTTCCATGTTACCCTTGCACTGATGTCCCACTCGCCGCTTCCCTTTCGACCTGGTTCCACTCGAGCAATGGTCTGAAGCGCGCGATGACGTCAGCGAGTGTCTAATCCATCTCAATGCACTTTCTCCTGAATATTTGTTGGTTGGCGATTGGTTGGTTCTTGTTTTGTTTGTTTGTGTCCATAGTTTCTTGTTGGAGACTGTTTCCGGTCCGGCCATCTGATCTTTAGTATAGATCCAGCGAAGACAGTTGTTGTTGATAAAGGTCTGGTCTGGAATAGCCTGTTGGAAATATTCTTTGTGACCCACCCGCCATATTTCTGCCCCGTATAGAAGAACTGACTGACTTGACGTTGTTTGTATTGAAAATCCGAATCCTGCGGTATATGTGTGACATATTCATGGTACGATAACAGCTGTCTGCTAGCCAAAATTGGTAGACACCAATTGACGTCAATGTTTACGTCGCGAAATGGGATCATGATAAAATAACAAGAACAAAGCCTAACCTTGAGAAACTCAACAACCAATCACAGTAGACTTTGCGTGGGCGGATACGAGTCGCAAATATGTGACCTGACCTTCACAAAGAAACGGCAATAAAGAGATGAAAGAATAACTTTCAGCTAGGAAACAACTAATCAGAAGACGCTCTTTCCCTTCTGATAATAACCTATAATAATGTACATAAAAATATATAAATACCTTTTAATTTTCTCGATCAACGTTCTGTTGCCTTATTTTTGTCTTCTGTTAGAGCTATTTACTTCGTGCCATGTTTGTATGAAATTTACAGCAGAACATGGAGATAATGATACTACATAGATATATATAAATATATATAGGAAGCTAACTTGGACGGAACAATTCATCATACATTTCAATAGCTATGGCCCACCCAGTTCAATACGAGAGGAGTCTGGTAGAGCAACAACGATATGTCCAAATGGCAAACTAGACTACAAAAAGAGAAATTCTTCAGGGAGATACTTGCGAGAAATGAATATTCGTAAAGGTGTATGAATTATTATTCAAAAGACAATGAAGGAAAAGCAATATTAGAGACTGTTTCCAGAAAGAAGGCTTACGTAAAGTCACCTTTCAATTAACAAAAACGTCACTCGTCGAAAGCAATTAAACCAACACCTATTCTGTAGCTGATATGTTGCTCGTAAACACAACAGAGAAGGGAAATTCAGACAACAGGCAAAGACAAGGCTTTGATCCTCATCATATAAAAATGTGTAGATCGATTTACCTATGTTTTTTGAAAGCAAATACAATGGGCGTAAAGAGAGATGGCAGTCGCATCACGTCGCTGAACGTTACTCATGATAATACCTCAAGGAGTTCAATCACACGGCATTTATCGCACTGTGATCATACGGTGACGTTGAGTTAAAGCTTTACAGTTATTATTAATTTAGACAAGGCAATCAGAAGACATAATTTGTCTGAATCGTGCTCAAGACATTTCTAACACAATCTGATCACACACGGAATTGTCATAGGAATATATGTGAAATTAATAAAGAGGTAAGAGGTGAGAAAATAGACCACTTAGGTCAAGTAAAAAGGACATACTGAAGGTCAAAATAACAATGAAGATCACTACACCAAAATAACAGAGGTAATAATATATCCGCTATGGTATCAAAACAAGGTTCACCAAGGAAGGTTTTGTACGATGACGAATTGTTTCTGGACGCATAAAGATGGTTTAAACTTCCTAATTGGCAGCTAGGGCTTCCACAAACTTTAGGATACACCCCTCACCAAACACGTTTTAAAGATAGGTTTAAAATGAAGTGTATACTTCAATTTTATGTCCTGTCCCATCGATAATATGTTCCACAGTAGAGGAGCTAGGTTCTCCGTTCTCACCATTAATGGGTTCTGGGGATTCTATTTGCTTCTGAAGCCTTTTAACTTCCAGAGGCCGATGAGTCGTCTCTTGTTGGTGTTGTCGTCGTCACAATGTTCATTAGTTTGTGCGTAATTCACCTTAACATGAAACTGTGTCAACAGCAAGGTTTGTAGAAGTGTTCAGTTGTGGAGGAGCCCTGCTGCCACAATATATGAATCCATTAAATACTCTTCTTTTTCACAGTTGTTTTGTTACTTCTTTTAAATTTACTACGTGGAAGAAATATCTTCAGCATAAGTATATAACAAATCCTTGTTATGTATTTCTCTGGACAGTTCCCGACCGAAAGCTGCTACCTTGACGTGGTGGTCGGGCTTGAACACCGCAATGATCTATTCAAGCTATACTGGCTGAGACTTGTGTCTCTTGAGGTTCTACCATGCCAGGCAGGTTGTTTGGATAGCGGTTAAACAAAAAGCAGCTACCCAATCCAACATCATGATTCAAACAAATTCACAAAATTTCATGCCGGATCGGCCGTGGCCCGGATTAACAACGACCGCGCTTCCTGCTGCTGTGTCACAGGGCAGGAGTGATAAGTATGCTACTGAGGCACACCAAACAACAAAGAACGAACAAAAACAGGCCGCGTGTGACCGGCCTCAAGCAGTTGTCCCTGGGCTCTGCGGTCACGCAACCAACTTCCACGGTGTGGGCAGCCGGGAAGTAACAATCGCCCACACAATCCGAAATCCGGACAGTTGGGAAAATATGTCTCTTAATAGGTTTAATCCTACTCCAAAGACAATATGGTGGAGATATGTGGATGACACTTCCACTCACAGTGTTAAAAACAGAACATATCTCTAGCTTCTTGACTCACCAGTGAAGAGAACAAAATTCAAATTTGAATCGGAAAATGAACTAGGAGAACTAGCTATGTTAGATTGTAAAATAAAACGAATAGAAGAGGGTGGACTGTACACTAGTGTTTATAAAAAGCCAATGCATTCTAATATATATTTACACTTCAATTCATCTTATCCGTTATCAGTCTGTGAAAGCAGGCTTAGTTAAGTGTCCAACAAACCGAGCAGTGGCACTAAGTAGCACAAAAAAGACCTAAATGATGAATTAAAACAGATAGAAGAGATGTTGGTGTTGAATAACTAACTATCCTGTAAAATTCATTAGGAAGGTCAAAAAAAGGCCAAACGAAAAATAAAAATAATTGTGAAACCCGTAATAATAACATAAATAAGAAAGAATATAAGTCATCCACAGTTATACCATATAAAGAGGGGACATCTGAGACACTACGTAGGATTCTGAATAAAGTAGGAATTAGGGTGGCATTTAAACCTACAAACTCACTCAGAGACAAGCTCTGTAGGTTAAAGGACCCAGTTGACCCAATTAGACAAAATAATATTATTTACAAAATACCATGCAATGACTGTGAGCGAAGTCAACTACATAGGTCAAACTAGTAGGTCAGGGTAGTCGGATTGTCGGAACATAAGAATTTAGCCAAGGTAAGAATAGTTGACCCCGCGAAGATAAGTAATTTAGAAAAAAGCTCAGCAATTGCATTGCATGCATTAACACACAACCATAGAATAGGATGGTGGGAGAGGGTTAAAATTCAAGAAAGTAATCTGGATAGGTGGAGAGAGAGGTTGATTACTGAATCCTGCCTGGTTCATAGAGTCTACGCCCAATACAGGCAATAGGAATGATTCATCACTTATACCTGAAATATGGAAAATATTACTAGCACTGCAAATCAAGCAAAAATCAAGTGAAAAATAATGGAACTATACAAATGAAGTTAGGAAGTCGTGTGAGTAGCGCCTTGATATGATTATGAGCAGTAGCAATAAATTGTGCTCGAAACGCCATCAGTAAACATTACTGTATAACACTGTGAGACTTTATGAAAAACAAAATTTTTACCCATAATGGAATTACACTCTACTGCAGTGCACAAGTTTTATTCTTATATCTATGTATAGCTCTTTTAACAAACGAAATAAAAATGATAGCAAAATTTATTATTATTATTAGTAGTAGTATTTACCCATGACAGAATCCAACAGTTTGCCAAAGTGCTACTAAATTTGCTGTACGTTGAACAACTTCTTTAAAAAATTCCACATAACAATCAACCGTGTCATCATAATTTGAAAGTGAATACTTTTCCCAAATCTAATTGACAAAGCAGTAAAGGAAAACAAACAGACAAACAAAGGATGGAGTTAGGAAAAAACAACTTGGTTAAGAAGAAGTTTACTTAATAAAAAAACTTAATACAGCCTGTTATTTCCGTGTCTACCTTTTAATAAGATAAGGAAATGATACAGTTTCTTGTATTCAGCTACATGCAGATTGTTTAGTACTCCTGATTCCACCGGATCCAGGATGTATCGGCAAGGATTTGTACTTTTACGCATCATCATGAATAACATCCATATAGAATTATTTCGATTTTTGGGAACTTCAACAGAATCTCAAGATAACGCAATGTGGTTTCTGGTCAGCGCTTCCAAATGACTCAGATCACTGTAAAAGTTTATGAGCGATCTGTTGTTTAGTATCCGTTCTATTTCTGTCAGAAAGATTATAAGGAATTCGTCTGTGAGGACTGGGTCCTTCTAGAAAGCGCTTAGCAATCGAAGTACGCTTCTAATCAAACCCTCAAGCGCTCCGTCTATGTGGAAAGCATTAGTTAAGATTAAGTGCCATTCTTTGCCACGATTTGTCATCACCTTCATCATAGGTTCTCGCTTGTTCCCTTATAGTATAAATTGTAGTAATTCACTACCAGCTGCAACGAAATTCGCACCACAGTCACTGTATAACTCTTTTAATAATAATAATTTGCTTTATTCTAAAACAGTACTTGTGATACAGAATGGAATTCTCAGCATTTCACTACAGTAATGCATCCAGTTAGTACATTTACAATAAATAAAGTTCTACATAGAGTATAGGTAGTTTCAGTTCATTATGACCACAACATGTTGGCATGTCGGTAAAAAAGCCAAAATTGAACAGTGTTTGAAGGTGTTACAAAAGTAGATACTACTAGCATATTTAATGGCGTAAGCGGTAACAAAAAGGTCGACATATACAGAGTGTGAAAGAACGAGGAAGAATGTTTTAAGTAGAGTTTGTAAAGAAGGGAGAAACAAAAGAGCACATAACAGAAAAAAGACAGAGACAAAAGGAAAAGAAAGAAAGAAAACGTTGTACCTATGAATGATATGAGTTGGAAAGACAAGATCCAGTTGTTCTACTGACTATTTAATAAGTTATAGGTATCACGCCTAATGCTTTCTTTATCGCACAGAACACAAGCTAATTAGGGTATGGTTGAGTTTTTGTACTTTCTAGTGCGAGCATATAGTTTTCCACATACGCTTCTGGTTCAGCCTGATGATATAGATACAAGGGGAGAGTTGTGAATGAAGACGGTAGTGTTAGGTAGAATGGATTTAGCCGATTTTTTACATGAGTCCAAGTGCCTATCAACCAGAATATTAACGAGCTGGTTAAGTGGGATGTTGCTTGACCTGCTGACAACCTTCAACATCCTGCCTAATAAGATATAGTATTTCTTGAGTAGCCCAGGAAAAACTAAGGAGGAACATTAGAAAAATTATAGGCAGGATGCAAGAGTTAACGAATCGTAAGAGTAAGGGTTGGGTTATTCCAGAATGTATTAACCTCTTGATGTAGAAGGTAAGACGGAATATTTTCCTAGAAATCATCAAGATATGAGACGACTAAGAAAGATCAGCAGATAGAATGACGCCTGGGTATTTAGTTTCCGAGTTGGTTTCTATTTTAGTGCCATCTATGTTGCACACCTCGTGGGTGCTAACCAGTTTGTTTAGGTCAGATTTATACCTAACGGTGAAATTGATTGACTGTTTGACATTTAGAGGAATTTAAAGTTAGACCGTTTTCCTTGGACCACTGGCTGATTTCTGATAAAAAGCCATTTAGTTTGTAGCAGTCACTTTGATATTTGACAGGCAAGACTACAGTCAGGTCGTCAGCACATTTAACAAAATTAATGTCATTTGAAGATGGTAAGTCATGTAGAAAGAAAAAAAAGAGAAGTGGGGAGAGTACAGCGCCTCGGGTGACACCAGCTTCAGTGAGCACAGCAGAGGAGGATTTACCTTTGTATACAGTGTACTGCATTCTGTTTGAGAAGTAGGACTGCAACCGGTTTGAGACCCAGGATTCAGTTTGTGTCATGGAGAGCTTATTCAGCAAGAGACATCTGGGTACAGAGTCAAAAGCAGAAGTGAAGTCGAGAAACGTGCAATTAAACAGATAGGATACCTTTTGTTGGACACTACGCAGGTGGGTAACTAATGTCAAACGTCTAGTGTTGGTGTTGGTGCAGACTAAACTCTGTCAGTTAAGTTTGTAATATACACACGGCAACCATGCTAGGTGGCGCGCCATCAGAGTGGTGGTTGGAAGCCTTGAACCTAGGTGTTGTGCGCTTGTAAGCACTCATCAGTCATCAAGGCATGTCTGAAGTCTTTGATGAACTCATGCCTCAAGCCCCCAACCCCACCCCACTGGGATTCTAATCTGGTTCACAACCAAGTTCTGCGATCAATCAAAGACGTTACACCAGTGAGCTATTCGGACTAGCAATTGACTTCCTGTAAGACTGCAATGGATATTATGATTGGACAATCATGTCACGCGTCTAGTCCATCGTTCAATGCAGACTAAATCTTATCAGTGGATATTTCATTCAATAGACACATGTATATATACTTATGGTCTAGACTGTATGCTATATGTTCTATAGAAAGGGAAGAAGAAGTAAGACTTGGTCAAGGAATATTTATTTGGAAAGTGGTATCTCTATATAACCAAATAATGTATACCTTTCTTTTCTTTCTTTTTCATTTCAACTTTTGTAACTCAAAGGCAATTGAGGTTTAATTAAACGACCTACATTTTCAAGACTTGTCGACTTGTCTTTTGTCTTTAGTTACTCCAGCAAGTAAACTGCTAAAAGTGGTTAGAAAGATCTAGTGTTCCTGTATAAAAGTCTATGCGGTCGGTGATAAAAGTATGACAGATAAGATGTCTAGAAATTTACCGAAAATGAAGCATAAATTCAGGTGACACTTCGCACTGTAGCCGTCAACATATTAGCGATGTTTATCAACAAATAAATTAACTAGGCAACAACAATAACAGACAACAATTAGCCAGCATAAATGGGAGGAACCTGAAAGAAACAACCTCCTTCACCTACCTACCTGAGAAGCATCGTTTCAACTACAGGCTGACAGAACTGACCAGCATATCAAAGCAAGGATCGGAAACGCAAGAAAAGCTATCATTACTCTTAAGTCCGCGTGAAAAGCAACAGCATTCAGCATCAAAAATAAGATCCCGATTTTCAACTCTAATGTGAAGTCAGTGCTTGCTACCTACCACATGAATCAGAGACTTTGCGCGTCATGAAGACCACTTCGAAAAAACTACAGACCTTCATCAATAGCTGTCTTCGCTCAATACTCAAGAACAGATGGCCAGAAAAGATCTGCAATAGGGAGGGGTCTCTGGGAGTGAACCGACCAAGTAGGAACCGACTATGCAACAAATAGGCAGGAAGAAATGGAGATGGATTGGCTGGCCATACTCTGAGGAAACCAGCAAGTAACATCACACGCCAGACCATCGCTCGAGTGGAACCCGAAAGGGAAGCGGCGAGTTGCTCGTCAGTGGAAGGGTGAATTGGAGGAGGTTATGTGAAGAGGAGATGAAAACGTGTGGGCAGACTCGGAGCCAGGTGAAAACTCTAGCAGAGAACCGAACGCAATGGAGACGCGCGGCTGAAGCCCTATGTTCATCTGGGAACTAAAGGAAAAAATAATAATGTATCATTTCTCAAGCATATTATGACTTATTGGGTGTGAGATCAGTTGATTGTCTTTTGTCTCATCTTAATCTTCGTCACGTCAGTTGACCAATCAATGAGAATAGACATTGCCATCCAATAAGAACAATTCATTCTCACGGCTGTGAGGCGACTTTTTTATTATCGTGAAGAAAGTGTACAATAAATATCACGTGTTGTTTCCTAAACTGTGCAATATTCAATATCTTATAGTCACAGGACGACCTTTGTCTTTTGATATACTTGCGTGACTCAGTCAATCGGATAGATCGACGTATTAGAACACCAGTCGACTTCATTACCATTTACAGTAAGTAACAGTCGCACACATAAAAAAGCATCGACGGAGTTTACTTATCTGAGTGCAGTTCAGTACTTAATTGGTGGATAGTGACTAGCAGTGGAATCCAAGATAAAGCGCATTTCGTCCTATTTGAGACTCGTCAGCCAGTGGATGTACCTGCATTTCTCTGTGTGTGATGATGTTCTCACCGAAGCTCAAACCCAGTGCCCATAGTTTCGAAGGCTAAAGCGTTATCCATTAGACTACTTGGGCCACAAGAGCCACCTTTTGTGCGATAGGTCATATTAATTTAATTAAATTTTAGATTTTCCCGTATATTGATTGGACAAACCGAAGTGCTCGGTCTCAGGTTGACATGTCGGCTTCTTGTGCAGATGCTTCGACGATGTCCTGGTATTTAATTAGGACGAAATGAGCGTTATCCTGGATTCCACTGCTAGTCACCATCCACCAATTAAATTATAATTAAATGCCCAGGCATCGTTGAAGCATCTGCATAAGAAGCCGACATGTCAACCTGAGACCGAGCACTTCGGTCTGTCCAATGAATCGACGGGAAAATCTAAAATTCAATTAAATCAGTACAGCTCAGTTATAGATAACACAGTCAAATATCGAAATCAATCATATCCTAACTTTATACATACCATATAGAACACCCATCCAAAGTACTACAGAATGTCAAGTATTAACTACTCAACAATGGTAATTAGTAAAATAATAAACGAACATAAAAAAGAGAAAACTTACATGGGGATAAAACTGTTGAATTACATAATTTGTAAGCTGGGATACAATTTCCAAATTACCAAAACTTGGTCCATAACGTCCAGTAATTGGATCTTGTGGTTTTGTTATTTCAAAAGAGCCAAACCTTAAAAAACACAACCAAAAATTAATCACAATTGTATGAATACAGCAAGGAAGATGCATCTGAGTAGAATAATAAATCGATAGATAAATCCATACACCCGATAAAACTTGACCAGACGTTCGCAGTTATTTACCGCGTTCCTAGTAATTTATCTATCTAGATGAGCTCGACTACGTCTTCTATCAGTAGCTGAAGCGGCTGCAAATAATACCAGAAGATCGTCTCTTTGCATACAGAAGAAGTATGTTTACATTGGCCTATAATAAAGCCAACAAATCCTCCATAAACATTAACACTATAAATTCCTTTCACAATTTCCTTTTCTTCTTCTTCTATTCCTCTGTTTCATTGACAAACGTTCATTTTCGACTTTTACGATTTCATGACGTTTCTTATGATTACCTTAAGTTTAAGTAGTGCTTTTCTAACTTGTTATCGTATTTACAAATTTCTATTCATTCCACTTCATTATATTCATTATTATTAGTTAACTCCATTTCTCTTTAATTTTGCCATCGATGACATTCTAGAGTCAGCTCTGAAGGATGTGCATGAACGTGGTGTAGATCTGCTACCTGGAGATAGACTTTTCGACCTCAGGTATGCAGACGATGTCGTCTTACTGTGCGATAGTATGCAGGCTGCCCAGGCTGCTCACTTAATCAGTTAGCAATCAGTATCTGTAAATATGGCATGTACTTTGCGCCGTCTAAGTGTAAAGTACTGTTACAAGATTGGCAGGAACCTGTACCTGCACTCACGCTGGCGGATGAACCGCTTGAAGTTGTTAATAAGTTTGCGTATCCGGGTAGTTGTGTGAGTGCTGGCGGCAGAGGGGTGACGGATGAGATTTCCAATCGTATCATGAAGGCTAGGGAGGCATACATCAAATTCAGCCACCTATGGCGCCATCGTGACGTTAGCCTAGCTGTCAAAGGTCGGGTATACAATGCTTCGGTGAGGGCTGTCTTGCTCTATGCCAGGCCTGTGAAACCTGGCCTCTCCGAGTAGGCTGAGGATGTTTAGCGACTCTGCGTGTTCGATCATCGCTGTCTCCACAGGATTGATTGCGTTCGATGGCATCATCGCGTGAGTAATTCTGAGGTTCGGCGGCGTGTGTTTGAACACAGTGGAAACCACCATTCATTGAGTGTCGTCATCTGGAAACACCGGCTCCGGTGGCTTGGACATGTGCTGTGAATATCATCCCAGAGGAGGCTTCCGTACAGGTCTCTGTTCAACAGCCAGCCCTGGGACGGGACAGAGAAGGCGGAGGGGTGGGTGGTCAGTCCATGACGTGGCGTCGTTTGATGAAGGATGTTTGTGCTAGATTAGCATCGGTTGGTGCGTCACGACTCCCTGGTTGGGGTCCGCGAGATAGCTCGAATCGATGGCTCGAAACATTATCGGATATGGCTAAGAATCATAATCAATGGCGAACGCGTTGCAATTTCCTTCTTTCTCCTTCCCTTCCCGATGTTAGTTAACGAATACTGTTCGAACTGTTTTCCTTCCAGATGAAGTTCTTTATCCGTTCTCTACTTATATTTTTTTACTTTTGATCTATGTTGTTTTATTATTATTGTGTGACGCATCTTTCTTGGTGCCATAATGTACCAAGTTTTTTCTACGTTTAAATAAAAAATAGATAAAATGGACGTAGGGGGTTATCTAAAGGAGTGAATGCATTTACACCATTGAGAACGACTCTAAGCCATATTATCGACAGTCTCTAACCATTGATTCTTAGTGACTCCATGATCCTACATAGGACCCTCTCTAGACGGCTTAAACTAACCGTCGAATAGATTGACTACCATGGCTTGATTTGATACCCTTCAACTCTTTTCTGACTTGATCTAATTTCAGTCAACATTTTGACCTGATGACCTTTCTCACCAGCTTTCAAACTATACAGCATACTTCAAGAAAATGACAAAAGTATGGTATTTTTCTGAATAAAATACAATTCACTACTCTACATCAGATGTTTATCACTTGCTTAGAACTGCAAAGAAGTGATGATCAATACAATTATAAGAAAAATATAACCAAGACGAAGATATTCCTTTGTAACTCTGACTGATTGACTCAACAACCCAGATCCTATGGTAAAATTGGGTTATTTTAAGTCGCTACACCAGAATTCTTTCATTTTATTATTCCTTCACGTTTCAAGTAGAACACAGTGCTTCAGGCTAGAGAGCTTTGAAGTTTCGGTAGTAGTGGTTTTATTTTCACGAGGTGAGGTTGCTGGCCTCACACCCAACCTTCTCTCTTTACCAGTCCTACTACTGGTTTAACGAGGTTAGGGAGTGCGTCAGCTCAGGATCGAACCCCAAACCATGTGAGGGTCCCGGTGATTGTGAATGGTCTACGACCTCGCCTTGTAGCCGGAAGGTCCTGGGTTCGAACCCCGGTGGTGGGTAAGTATTGCTGAAGAGTCCCAAACTAGGATGAGACAGGTGTTCAGTACTCCGTGGTTGTTTTCCAATGGTTTTCTAACTGATGTCGGAAGCTTACGATGAGATCTTCCACACCTCTACGGAAACTTCAAAAAGCTCAAAGTCCTAATTTCCGCCCACAATCCAAAGGAATAAAAAGAGGTGAACGACCATCACTTACTTCGACGAGAAATGTAGAGGTGTTTTTTACCGGAAGGTGGGATCTCTAGGCACACACCCAACCTAACGGACTTATTATCATCTAGTAAGCTAGGAGATGTTTAGGAGTGCGTCAACTCAGACCATTTGCGTGGCTGGCGAGCATTCTATGACAGAACCACCGATGCATGATCCTTCAACTTCATTTATATAAGCATACATATATACATGCGAGAAACATTACACTGAAGTATAGTCAAATACCAAAGACAACATTCAACGACAACTATCTTGCTAAAAACAAACATTTTAAGAGAAAAAAAAGGCCTCGACATTAAAAAATAGGCACAAATCACTTATTACCTTATAAATGTTTGAGCCACTCGACTAGTTATACTGGCTCGTTCAAGAATATTATCCCCCGTATAGAAAATATCACGCTCAACCATAGTATCAGAAGTAATAACCGATCCAGCTCGTGTTGTTGGTATACCTAAATAATGCATAGCCTAAAATAAATAAAGTATATGTGTCATTTTCAAGTAAATAGTTGGTAACTTTCAAGTTTGATCACAGATTGAACCAGAACCATTGAAAACCAGGCAGTACTGGACAGCCATTTCGTCCCAGTTTGGGACTCCTCTCCTCAGTGCGTACCCCTGACCCCAACAAGAATCGAATGACCAATGAATGAGGTCGCCTCGCAACCTGAACGTCCTAGATTCCATTCCTGGTGGAACGTATACTGATGAAGCTGTCTTTTTTTTGTGTGCATTTCGGATTGTGAGGGCGTTTGTTACTTCCCGGCTGCCCACACCGTGGAAGTTGGTTGCGTGACCGCAGAGCCCAGGGGACAACTGCTTGAGGCCGGTCACACGCGGCCTGTTTTTGTTCGTTCTTTGTTGTTTGGTGTGCCTCAGTAGCATACTTATCACTCCTGCCCTGTGAGACAGCAGCAGGAAGCGCGGTCGTTGTTAATCCGGGCCACGGCCGATCCGGCATGAAATTTTGTGAATTTGTTTGGATCATGGTATTGGATGAGGTAGCTGCTTTTTGTTTAACCGCTATCCAAACAACCTGCCTGGCATGGTAGAACCTCAAGAGACATAAGTCTCAGCCAGTATAGCTTGATTAGGTGATTGCGGTGTTCAAGCCCGACCACCACGTCAAGGTAGCAGCTTTCGGTCGGGCGGCCCAAGTAAGAACGAAACAATGGTTTTCTAAATGATATCAGTCCCTGACCAAACTTAAATATTATTATTAGTAAATGTCAACTGTAGAAAAGACGTTCAAAAGAATAATACTATCAATTCGGTCTAGGAATAATGTAGGAGATTTGTACTTTAGGTGGATAGTTCTGATGTTGTTATGTTATCTGAGCTGAACAGTTTAATCACGAAGCTATCATTCTCTTTCTACACAATATCCTTAACTCTAAATTCGAAATAAAGATGAGTGTTCATTCGGAAACTTTGAATGGATAGTTTTCGGATTCTAACTCCGTCTTGCTTACTTAGCAGATGAAGTAATTTAATGTCTATATGATCATTATAATTCATAGTAAATTTAATTGGTGGATAGTGACCAGCAGTGGGACTCGTCAGCCAGTGGTTGTGCCTGCATTCCGCATTGAGTGATGATGCTCACACCGAGGCTCAAACCCAGTGCCCATAGTTTCAAGCGCCACGGTAGATACATCCAGTTGATAAGTCTCAAATAGGACGAAATGCGCATCCTGGATTCCACTCACTGTTAGTCAACATCCACCAATTAACTTCGAATTACATGCCCAGATATCGTCGAAACATCTGCACAAGAAGCTGGTAGACATGTCAACCTGAGACCAAGCACTTTGGTCCGTCCAATCAATCTATGGGAAAATCTAAAATTCAATTAAATTCATAGTGATTCATATGATTTAAAATCCCAAATAGAACACCGAGAAATTGATAAAGAAGACATTATGGTAAGCTATGATATTAACTCACTATATACTAGTATCCCTATTACCGAAAGTCTTGATATCATCTCCAGTCTACTAGAATCAGATACAACTCTATCACAAAGATGTCCACTGGACACCAGTGAAATAATTAAGAGCTCAAAATTCTGTCTAGAAAGTAATTATTTTACATTTAAAGGGAGTTTATATAGACAGACAAATGGTTTTCCTATAGGTTCACCAGTTTCCCGACAATCGTTGACCTTTTCAAGAATAGATCGGAAAATAACATGTTTTCAAGCATACTTACTCCTAAAATATTGTTAAGATATGTGGATGATACTTTTTTAGCACTAAAACGAGATCTACATAATTCATTCCTGGAGAAAATAAACTGTGTATCTCCCAAAATCCAGTTCACTTCGGAAGCAGAATCAGATGTCGGTGAACTACCATTTCTAGACTGCCTAGTTAAGAGAAAGGAAAACGGACACTTTATTATATCCATATTCTGGAAGAAAACCCACTCCAATAAATATTTAGGCTTCAAATCATCACACCCCATCAGCGCAAAGATTTCAGTTGTTTCAAGTCTTCTTAGACGAGCACACACTCTGATGTTAACGGATGAGAAAGAAAAAGGAGAAGAAATATCAAACATTACTAAAACTCACAAGCAAAACAACTACCCAGCAAACTTCATCAACAAAATCAACACAGACATTAAGTATGTTCAAAAATGTATTCTGAAAACATGGACTTCAACAGTCGTCACTCCATATAGAGCAGAGACGTCAGACGATATCAGAAGAGTACTCAATCAGCTCGGCATTAGAGTTTTCTTCAAAACATCGGACACACTTCAAAACAACCTTGTCCATGTAAAAGACCAAATCCCTAAAGATTCTCTATCTAATTGTGTCTATAATATAAAATGCTCGGAATGTGATGCGATCTACATCGGACAAACATCTCGAGAAATCAAAATCAGAAGAAATGAACACCATAGAGCATCTCTTAGACCACCAAGAAATCCAGTTGAACTAGAAAAACTTCAAAAATCAACAGCGATAGGTCTACATGCTATAGAATCAGGCCACAAAATTGATTTTGACAATATTAAAATTATCCAGAAAAACTTCAGAAGCCACGAAGAACGTCTAATATCAGAAGCACTTCATATCAAGTGGAATCCAAATCGCCTGAATAGGAATGATGGACTAAAACAGAATCTGACCTGGCTACAACACCCTCCCCAATGAAGTAGCAAAATCAACGCAAATGTGATAAGCAAGTTCACTATGTAAACAGACACTACTTTCATAATTCTACACACTGACAAAAGCCAACAGTCTACACTTGATTTTGCTATCTTTACCAGTTCGCCAACTTGACAACAAAAAACGACCCAGACTGACGAACGACGATCAAGTATTTCACAATCTACACTTAGTTTGGTTACCTTCACCTATTCTCCAACTTGACAACCAAAAATGACCCCAGACTAACGAACGATCATCAAGTTAGTAGAGTTTATTTTGATATAATAACAGATATACTATTACCTTTGATATTTGGTTTGAACGATCTTCATTGTTATTTTGACTTTCAATATATCCTTTTAAGTTGAACTAAGTTTATATTTTTCTCACCCCCTAACTCTTTGTTATATATATGCTGGGATTTTGTAAATTCCGGTTTAATAATACTTTGAGAAAGCTATTAGCATTAAATAGCGAAACGTCAGTAAAAACAATCTCGTTTTCTTTTTTCATTCATTGGGAAATACAAAAACATCTATTATAATGAATATCATATACCCAATGCCCAAATTTTTTCAAACCGTTAACAGTGAACTTGGTTTCAACATATATAGCTATAAAACTTTACCTATTATCATTTTGCCTCAATTTAGTGTAGCGTTTATTTTCGAATAACACTGAAAGTACACATACTTCATTATTATTATTATTCGCTTGGGTTACGAGTGGAACACATGGCTACAACAGAACATCTCCACGTCATCCTGTTTTCTGCAGTTCTTTTTTGGCTGGCTCCATGATTGTACATAAGCTGTCATCTCCGCCTAATACAACCTCCTCTTTGTCACCACCCTTGGACCTAACACCAGCCCCCGCCAACTCATCGTTTACCACTCGGGTTCCACTTTAGCGATGGCCTATAGCTCAATGTCACTCAACAGTATCCCTCAGCGTGTATCCAACCCATCCCAAAAATCTTCGACACATTTGTTAGGAAAGATGGTTTTTGGTTGGTTCGTTGTTGATGAAAAGACTGCAGAATTTAATCCACAGCTGCCCTAGCTCCATACTGAAGATCAGATGGCCAGAATAAATTAGTTTTGCATATACCAAATTACGCCGTCTCTGGCTTAGTAGACGTGATATCCGGCCGTCTATCAACCAAATGGCGGGCGTACTACTTAGCAGTCCGCTCCATCCTCCTTTATGGCTGTGAGCGAGACCTGGACATTGAGATTCGAAGCCATGAAACGCCTGATTAGCTATCTTCGATCATAGATGCCTGTGCTCTGTCTCCCGTGTGAAGTGGTATAAGAAGGTTAGCAATATTGAGGTTAGGCGTTAGTCGAGTGCTAGGTAGGTGGGAGGGGAAATCAATCGACGAGGTTGTGAAATTACATCGACTGAGATGGTTAAGACATGTGTTACGTATGCCCAGACACCGCCTTCCTCGACAACAGGCAATGTTAGCTGGCACAGGAACTGTAAGGTTGGAAAAGAGCCAGCGGTGGTTAAATCAAAACAAGGCTTCATCAGTCAATAAAATCCACAACAGTTGGTTGGGCCAGCCAGACACGTAGGGAGGTGTAGACTTCCTGACTGGTTAGGGTCATCGGGATAGTAAGACCTAATGGCTGGATACAGTTGGTGATATGGCTGGCTCCCACGGAGTGGATGAATCTGCGACAGCCATTGACAACGATCACTTTGAGCCATATCACCAATCGTCTCCAGCCACCATTGGTTTTTACCGTCCCGAGGACCCCAACCAGTCAGGAAGTCTACACCTTCCTACGTGGCTGGCTTAAACTAACTGTTGTGGATTTCATTGAATGGTGCCATCTTTTCGTTTGACCGCCACTAGCTCTTTTCCAACTTGTCCGGTTCTATGTCAGCTAATATTGCCTGTTGTCGAGGATGGCGATGACTGAGCATACGGAACACATGTCTTAACCATCTCAGTCGATGTAATTTCACAACCTCGTCGATTGATTTCCCCTCCCACCTAACCAGCACTCGACTAACGCCTAACCTCAATATTGCTAACCTTCTTATACCACTGCACACGGAGGATAGAACACACGCACCTATAATACAGGTTTTGCATTTTGATAAGGTTATTAGAAGACGGAGACTATCTGAAAAATGTGATGTATTAGCGCTATACATTTCGAACAATCTGATCACACATTTACTTGTCAAGTCAATATATATAGAAAGGTTAAATTAAACAAAGTGAGAGAAAACGGAATTAAGAATAATTAACACAAACGTTTGGTAATCCAATCAAATAAGGATTACCAAG